TGCCGAAATCCACGTTGCGCAGAACGGTCTCCAAGTACACGGCGCCGTTGGTCGTCATGCTCGCGTCGCATCTCGCTTGGCGCTTGGCCGAGTTGGCCATCGTCCACGACCTCTTCAGGTCGAGATAGCAGTACGGAGAGAAGATCCAGGGTGCGTCACACCCATTCGAACGTCTCAGTCCTTCAATCGTCGCCTCGATCGAGCTCAGTAGCGTGTGCTGGAGGTAGGCGCCATAGTTGGCGGGTGACGCAACAAGAGCAGTTGATGACGCAAAGGATGCCATGGCATTGATACTGGGTCGGTCGAGGGGTAGGTCAAGCATGGTGGTATTGCCAATGACAAGTTGTTCGTTGAGCCAGTTGGCTAGGAAGGCGTGAGCACCGGTGGTGTTGAAGGTGGCCCAATAGACATCGTTGGCTAAATTGACTTGAGAGACACTGAAGTACGAGACGGAGCTACCGATGGACGACACAATGTAGACTATCCCGAGCATTTGGAGGACGAGGGCCAATACTTTGTGACGCCGGCGCTGGTTGATGCCAGGATCGCTCTTCTTCCGAGCCCCCGCCTTGGCTTGTACGTGAAGCGAATGCTCGGACAAGACGGGGCGTGGCAGCACTTTGAGAAAATTTGTGGTCGATCGGTCGTCCTTGAGCAAGAGCCACAGTTTGATGTCAAAGATGTACTCAACGCCTCGAAAGTGCAGGGCGAGCAAGCCTGCAAGGACGCACGCCACGTCATCGATGACATAGTGCGTTGGAGTCGTCCCGGGGGCGGTTGCAATGAAGGCGTCGGCTATGCCACTCACGAGCAGCGATGCCTCCGACTCTTTCGTGCTCAGGTACCGCCACCGGCGCCACGACGCCACACACGCCCAGACGACGACAAGGATGCTGGCCTGGATGACGGCGATCACCACGAGTCGCTGGAAGCTCCCCACCGAGACGACACCGCTGGTACACGTGGCGGCAAAGTCCATATCGACGCTGACACAGGCGCGCTTGATGTTGACGACGATCTCGACGGGACTCGCGACTTCAAGGATAAGGAGAACGAGCCACGAGAGAAGACTGGCAGTCGAGCTGTACGCTTGCGTGCGGTGGCGCGTCAGCAGCACCCACATCTCGTTAGCAACATACGTGAGCCAGGTTGCCTCGCCCGTCACGATCACAGCTTCAATCCAACTCCGAGGCGTCGCCACAAAGCGTGATGCACCAGCAGACGACGTCAGAAGCGATGCGTTGGCCGAGCTCAGCAGCAGCACAGCCGACGCGCCCCGTAAAAAAGCCAAGGGGCGACCAATCCAGACGGCCCCCACGATCCGGTTGAAGAAGAAGAGGTTCACGCCGTTGAACTGAAACCGCGTCTTGACCGCATACACCAAGACAATCCCACCGACACTGACAAGAATCACCGAGGTGGCCACCACAAGGTAGTAGAGAATCTGCGTGGCAGACTGCAGCGGCTGCGTCCCTGTCGTGTAGAGCTGCGGGGTATAGACGTTGGAGATGAGCGTCAGATTGCCGTTGTCGCCTTGAAATGAGACGACTTCACGATTGCCGAGAACCCAATCAAAGAGAAAAATCCAGCCAAAGAACGCAAACGAGGGCTCGAGTAGAGCTTGTTTCAAGACGACCCACGAGCCATTGGTGGCAGTAGCGTACTGCATCAAGCCAATCTCGAGACCAACCTCACTCGCAATCGATGCATTCCAGACCAGCGGTGAGGCGAGGGACTGCAAGAGCTGGTCGGCGGCTGCAATCGACGCCGTACAAGCTGGTGTAGAAGCCGCGGCTGCACAAACGTCTCCGGTGGGCACGGCGGTGCGCGCCAACAGCAGTGCCAATGGACTCAGCAGCAGACGAAGCGGCTTGGGCTTGGAACAATCGTAAAAGAAATCAAACGACTGCTGAACGTACGCTGTGCGTGGCAGGTTCATGCAGAGCGGGTCACCACCATAGAACGAGTAGTTGCTGCGCCACCCCAGTGGCATGAGGTCGACACTCAAAGCGGCCAGAGACTCGCGGAGACCGTTGCTGCCAAACTGCTGCAATAGGCTCGTCTGAGCTGTCTCGTACATCTGGACAAGATCAGCAGGTACGGCGAGGAGAAGGCTGTCGACGTTCTGGAAGGGCCCGACGACATGGCGAAATGCTGCGGGCTGCTTGGCAAACTGCCCAGAGACAGCGGTATTACCGAGGGCGACTTCAAGGTCGACGATGGGTAGTGCGGATGAGATATTGGTCCCAAAGTGCCGCGACGAGCCGCGAACAAGGCTGCGGTTAGCCGACTGGGCGATGCGAATGTCATTGAGCGGCAGTGAGAAGAGCTGTGCCGACGTCCAGGGTCCCGTGCCTTGGGCAAAGTTCTTGATGGTCACGAGCTCCCGCAGTCCGATTGCATTCTCCAAGAGGATGGTTTCCGTGATGCCGGGTTGCCACCGGTTCTGCCACTGCAGCTGGAACCGATCCAAGTTGTACTGGCGCCAGTAGAAGAGCTCGTCACTGATTGTTGTCGTATTGCGGGCTTGCGAGACTTGACTCAAAAAGGCTTGTCCTGTTGCGGTTTCTTGCAGTGCCCGCTCGTACGCAATGACAAAGCG